CCTCTCTAAGAAGTGTCTGTATCAGAATGGTAGGATTTATTGTTACTGCTAACAATAAACTTCTTGTTAATAGATTTTAAAGTTCTCCATTTACCTATTGTTCTCCTTTTTAAAAGTTGTAGAATGGGCTGTCACAGTGTCCTTAAAATATTGAGTAAAATAAAAACTATTGACTCTACACCTTGAATATATTTTTCCCTGCACACAAACACACACACATGCACACAGCTTTAAAGTTACTTCAAGGATAATATTCACTTCTACATCCTCCATTAAGCTTTCCATCAGTAATTATACTTTACTGTGTTTTGTCTCAAAATTTTTTAGCATTTCTAGTCTATGAGATAAAACTGTTATTGCATTCACTGTGGCTAACTTTTCTTTGTTCTTTTATTTCACATAAGACCCAGGATTTCTTTTGCTTTATTTTTAAACTTTCACAGTCTCACATAAACAGTTAGCAATTGATTGCTGGTAGTAATTTTTGCTGTAGCTGTTTTTGTCATTGATAAGGAGGAGAAGGAGGGAGGGCCCTTGCCAGGGACTGACAAAGTAAAAATATTTCTTATTTTATAGTGACATGGGTCTTTTATTAAAAAAATAGCACGTCTCTCTTGGAAACTCTTTCTAGTTTTGTTAAGTTGCGTTTGCCTCCTGTTAGAATTTTCCTTTTTTCCCCTCAATTTAAGTTATTCTCTCTTCTGAGCTTTGTGAATGTCTTTTGCTAGGATTTTTTTTTCCTTTTTTTCCTTCTCTCTCTTTTAATCTCTTTTCAGTTCAGTTCATCTGCTCAGTTGTGTCCGACCCTTTGAGACCCCATGAACTGCAGCACACCAGGCCTCCCTGTCCATCACCAACTCCCGGAGGTTGCTCTGACTCATGTCCATGGAGTCAGTGATGCCATCCAACCATCTCATCTCTGTTTTCCCTTTCTCCTCCTGACTTCAGTTTTTCCCAGCATCAGGATCTTGTCCAATGAGTCAGTTCTTTGCATCAGGTGGCCAAAGTATTGGAGTTTCAGGTTTAGCATCAGTCCTTCCAGTGAATATTTAGGACTGATTTCCTTTAAGATTGACTGGTTTGATCTCCCTGCAGTCCAAGGGACTCTCAAGAGTCTTCTCCGACATCACAGTTCAAAAGCATCAATTCTTTGGTGCTCAGCTTTCTTTATAGTCCAAATCTCACATCCATACATGACTACTGGAAAAACCATAGCTTTGACTAGACGGACTTTGCTGACAAAGTAATGTCTCTGCTTTTTAATATGCTGTCAAGGTTGGTCATAACTTTTCTTCCAAGGAGCAAGTGTCTTATAATTTCATGGCTGCAGTCATCATCTGCAGTGATTTTGGAACCCCCCCAAATAAAGTCTGTCACTGTTTCCCTTGTTTCCCTGTCTAATTGCCATGAAATGATGGAACTGGATGCCGTGGTCTTAGTTTTCTGAATGTTGAGTTTTAAGCCAACTTTTTCACTCCTCTTTCATTTTCATCAAGAGGCTCTTCAGTTCTTCTTCACTTTCTGTCATAAGGGTGGTGTCATCTGCATATCTGAGGTTATGGATATTTCTCCTGGCAATCTTGATTCCAGATGAAATCTTGATTCCAGATTAAATAAACCAAGTTTAAAATCTTAATCTCTTTTAATGCCCCCTTTCTCAATCAGACAGTATCATTCTCTCCAAAAATGTAGAGATGAATATTTTGCTAATGACCCAAAACTGCTCAATTTAAACCCTCCTTTTTTCAGTTCCACTGACCAAAGACTTGTTTTTCTTTTTTTCCAGAAGCATGAAGTAATATATCATTATTATTATATAAATATATAAGTATAGTTTCAATTCAGTTCAGTTCAGTCACTCAGTTGTGTCCAACTCTTTGCAACCCCACGGACTTCAGCACGCCAGGGCTCCCTGTCCATCACCAACTCCGGGAGTTTGCTCAAACTCATGTCCATCAAGTCAGTGATGCCATCCAACCATCTTATCCTCTGTCACCCCCTTCTTCTCCTGCCCTCAATCTTTCCCAGTGTCAGGGTCTTTTCAAATGAATCAGTTCTTCGCATCAGGTGGCCAAAGTATTGGAGCATCAATCTTGGAGTACTGGAGTATTGGAGCAAGGTATTCAGCATCTGTCTTTCCAACAAATATTCAGGAGTGACTTCCTTTAGGATGGACTGGTTGGATCTCCTTTTTTGAAAGTTATCTTAGATTTCATTTTTATAATTACATGATCGTTTACTTTATACCATTTAACAAAATGTCATTTCCAGCAAGCCAAGTTATATTTGCTAAATTTTGATATTGACTAATATGTATTTGTTGTTTCTAAATGTTAAAACCTAAGGTTAAAATAAATCATTCTGTTAAGGTTTCCATTTTGCACTGTGATTTTTGATCAGATGTTTGAGTGATGTAATGGAGCAAACAATTATTATTTGAAGAGTTGAGTATTATTTGATCTTCAGAATGGACATCACATCTTCAGTTGGTGGTTTTTATAAATAAATATGTTCAGTTGTCAAGTTGAAGTATCATTGTATATTCCATAATTCCTCATTAATTCCAGTATCAAATAGCTTTAACGTGCATTCTAAAATTAAATGAGTAACAAGATTGCCTATCTACTTAAAATTCTTGTTTTGGAAATGAATCTCTCTTATCCTCTAAATCTAGACCATTTGTCTGAGATTTTGTCTTTGCTTTCTATGGACTTAAAATGGGCAATGTAAATGCCAGTTTTTTAATTAAAATTTTTAAATCACAAGGTCCAATTTCACTCTCCTCAATTCATCTTGAATTAGGAACTCAATTTAAGAAGAAATACAGTATTATTTTGTGTAATACTTGTCACTTAATTCATTATAAGTTTGTATTTTTTATTGTAGTCTCTTAGGGTCTGAATATCTTTCTGAGACTCAGAGTGACTTTTGGTTCAGTCACTGCAACACAGCCCTTTTTGATGGAGCACTGATGTGAAATTCTTAGATGAAAAATAAGGACCAAAGAAATTAAATATAAAGTCCACAGACTATAAAAATGAGCTATTAGAAAATAAACCTTACAGCGATACTTGGATGACTAGTTAAATTGATTAAACATACTAAATTATTGAGCAAGTGATGATGAACAAAAATGTTTTTAAAGCCAGATTTATTTATTTATTTATTTATTTAATAAAGGACATTTGCTGATAAAGCCATATTTAAATTAATATACACATATGCTTAGTTAACCATTCTTTTCTTAGTATATTTATTCTCCATTTCCAATTTTTAAAATCCAGAATTGGTGTAGTCTCAGCTTGAAATTATAGCTCACTCAGAAATAAAGCAATTTATCTGCTGGCCCAAAATTTGGAGGCTCCAGGAATGAGTTCAGAATTAGCTAGAGCAATTAAAAGCGCTGCAGTCTTTAATCTCTGCAATGATACTCCTCAGGTCCCAACTCTCCTGGGGCTATTTAGCTCTTGTTATCTCCTGCAACTTCTTTTTCTCTCCTCCTCCCTCAATGAAGGCAGTAGGCTAGGCAGACTGATAACTGCCAGCATTTTTGTTAACAGAACCCAAGCTGTTTCTTTAGAGCAGACTTCTTAAAGCAAAAACAACAGAGAAGCACTTTTTCTTTTCTTTTTTTTTTCAATTTCTAACATAACAAGTCAGCTTTTATTAGAACAAATACTAATGTCTCATCAATGCACAGATATCTCACGATTTTTTGTCTGCTTTCACAACTTCTATGGTAATGAATTGTTAATGCCTATTGCTCTCTACTTTCTGAATTCACGTATCACATCCCGAGATATTACAGTTTGTTGTCAATAATGCCTCATCTCATTATTTGTGGTGGTCTGCTGAAGTTCTTTTAGAAAATAAGTGTATGCATATGTGTATTAGAGAGAGAATAAGTGAGACAGAGAGAATGCAGGTAGGAACAGAAAGAGAATGTGTTGTTGAATGGACTAGAAATAACAAGTAGTACTGGAATTCTGAGATATGGTTATTATTCTTATATTGAATTAACTGTAGAAAGGTTATTTGGGGCTGGAATTTTAGATATGACCTTGCAGAACATATAAACAGGCTGCGTGTGCTTAGTCACTCAGTCGTGTCTGACTCTTTGCGACCCCATCGACTGTAGCCCACCAGGCTCCTCTGTCCATAGGATTCTCCAGGCGAGAATTGAGTGGGTTGCCTTGCCCTCCTCCAGGGGATCATCTCATTATTTGTGGTGGTCTGCTGAAGTTCTTTTAGAAAATAAGTGTATGCATATGTGTATTAGAGAGAGAATAAGTGAGACAGAGAGAATGCAGGTAGGAACAGAAAGAGAATGTGTTGTTGAATGGACTAGAAATAACAAGTAGTACTGGAATTCTGAGATATAGTTATTATTCTTATATTGAATTAACTGTAGAAAGGTTATTTGGGGCTGGAATTTTAGATTTGACCTTGCAGAACATATAAACAGGCTGTGTGTGCTTAGTCACTCAGTCGTGTCTGACTCTTTGCGACCCCATCGACTGTAGCCCACCAGGCTCCTCTGTCCATAGGATTCTCCAGGCGAGAATTGAGTGGGTTGCCTTGCCCTCCTCCAGGGGATCTTCCCAACCCAGGGGTTGAACCCAGGTCTCCCTCACTGTGGGCCAATTCTTTACCATCTGAGCCACCAGGGAAGCCCATAAGCAAGCTGAGTCAGTTTCATTTATGTACCCACTCTCCAAATTTGCTTTAACCACTGTTAAAACACAGAGCCCATTGTTTCTATCTGTTTAGGGCCTATTGTAGCTAGTTGGTTTTGTTTCATGTTGTGCTCAAATCAGCCACTTTTATTTTAGAGTGACTTAAGGGGCATTTTATTTATTGGTTTCTCTTTATAGTTAAGTCTTATCTAGTAGGCTGATGAGCACCATCAATTCAGCAACACACATTCAGTTCATATTGTCACCCATATTCTGTCATAACCATGAATCACCTGTGATGTTGTTCCACCTACTGTATTGCAGGAAAAACAGAGGTTTCTGACGGATGTTCTACATGAAGTGATGCTGCTTGACGGCTTAGCCAGTTCCCATCCAGTATCACAGGAAGTGCTACGGGCAACAGATATTGACAGGGTGTTTGACTGGATCGCATATAAAAAGGTGGGAATAGATAAGACCCAATTGCCAATTGGGTATTTCACTCTCCTGGCCAAATTCTTTCATGCTAGATATATATTTTTCTCTTCGCTTTGGCGGATAGAAATGGATTGTGAGAAAATATAGTCACTAGGTTCATGTCATTTTATGAGTTAGGGTTTTGCTTTATAAACCAGTAAAATATTTGCCAAATAATGCATAGAAATCTTGGAAGTATTAATGAGATAAATGTTTGAAGTCTTGATATGAAGCTGCTGTACAGATGGCTTTATGTAAATGTCAGGTTTTATTGTTATTAATAAGACAGCTGACCTATGTAGTGACAAATTATTTCCCACCTGTGCCCCTAATACTTTTTGATTGGCTGCTACAAATGGGTATAGGCAGTGACATGACATATGTATTTTATAAACATAATTTAAGGTTGATTTGGGAAATTAACCATGTTTCCTGGATAGTAAGCATAATAAATGAAATCCTAAAGAATAGATTTTGAATGGCAAAGATTTTGGACCAATGACTAGACATCTGTAGAAATAAAATGTATTATGAATTTTTTTTCCATTGTTACTTGTATTAGAATTTTTCCTTATATCTCTATCCTTTAGTTTTTCTAATTTTAACATAAGCACCTACGTCTCAGTGTTAAATACTTGAAGTGGAAGTGAAAGTCACTCAATCGTGTCTGACTTGTTGTGATCCAATGGACTGTACAGTTCATGGAATTCTCCAGGCCAGAATACTGGAGTGGGTAGCCTTTTCCTTCTCCAGGGGATCTTCCCAACCCAGGGACTAAACCCCTACGTCTCAGTGTTAAATACTTTAAGTGGAAGTGAAAGTCGCTCAGTCGAGTCTGACTTTTTGCAACCCAATGGACTGTACAGTTCATGGAATTCTCCAGGCCATAATACTGGAGTGGGTAGCCTAATACAGTTCATGGAATTCTCCAGGCCAGAATACTGGAGTGGGTAGCCTTTTCCTTCTCCAGGGGATCTTCCCAACCCAGGGACTAAACCCAGGTCTCCCACTTTGCAGGTGGATTCTTTACCAGCTGAGCCACAAGGGAAGCCCATTAAAAACTTAACAGCCACTTAATACTAAAATAGTTTTAAAATTTACTTTGTCTTTTGTGTAAATTGGATTGCATTTATTGGGATTTCTATATGCTTTATTGATTTAATAATGTTTAAGTTTGAAAATAAGTTGCTAATATTCTCTCTGAAAAACAAGTTATTCTCTTTATGACTAGAGATCAAATAATGATTCATCAGATTTCTTTGGTGCACTAATTTGAATATTTGGTTTTACATCTAGGAAATGACTGTGTCAATGATCATTAATTGTTAATAGTTAATAGTTAACAGTTAATTAACTATTAATTAACAGTTAATTGTTAGTAGTTAATATTGTTTGTTATAATATGTAAAGATACCAATTGTGTTAGAAAATACCTTTTTGAAGTCACTGATCATTGCATTGGCTCAAAAAGGATATTTTTGATACTTTATAAAGCTAAGTGAAAGTGTATAACCATATTTAAATTATGTAGTGTTAATGTATTTATTTTACAAATTAAATAAAGTGTATATTAATTTTTATATATGATATTTTTGGCTAGCTTTTGCAATTTGATTCATTCAACTATACTGATTCCTAAAATATAATGCAGAAAACTTATTAACTTAGCTTGAGACAAATTTGGAGACATGTCTAGATTTTTCCCACCTAACTACCAATTCCAAAAGACTATTTGTAAATACCAATTTTAATTCTGTATGATAATATTAGGAAAATATTATTTTGATTAAATATGTTAATAGATGTGCTTTTACATGTAAGTTAACATTTATTCCAGATTTCATATATTTGAGTAATTTTGAATTTAATCAAGAAGGCTGACTCAAAACAGTAGGAAAGAAAGAATTCACAATGATTATTATTCTACCTCTCTACATTTTGGTGTGAAGGCTTATCAATTTACAAATGTGATCACGAGCACACTGAGCCTGGATGCTCAGGACCATCATCAGAAAGGCACTGGCTTATTTGCCTCTAGCCATGTATCTTTATTTTTAATTTTTTTTGAGAAATAGCTGATAAATATAATGTGTATAATCAAAGTATTCAATGTGATGACTTGATATACATATACATTTTGAAGTGATTACCAAGATCAAGATAATTAACACATATGTCACCTCACCTAACATTTTTGGGAAGTGGGAAGTGAGAATGCTTAAGATCTATCTCTGCAACTTTCAAGTATATAACATTGTACTATTAACTGTGGTCACAGTGCTATGCATTAGAGTATTAGAATTTATTCTTCTTGTAAGTGAAAATTTGTAGTTTGACTTATATCACCCCATTTACCCTTTCCCCTAGTCCTTAGAAACCACCATTCTATTCTCTGTTTCTATGAAATTGCCTTTTTTTTTTTTTAGATTTTATATATACTTAACACATAACATATGTATTAATATTTGTCTTTCTCTGACTTATTTTACTTAGCATAATGACCTTCAGGTTAATCCATGTTGTCAAAAATGGTAGAATTGCCTTCTTTTTATTAGTGAATAAAGTTTAATTATATATATATATATCAATCACATTTTCTTAACCCATTTATCTGTTGAAAGACTTTAGATTGTTTTTATATCTTGGTTATTATAGAACATGCTGAAAGGAATAAAGGAACATGGGTGTGCATATATCTTCTGAAGATACTGGTTTAAATTCCTTTGAAAATACAGGACTGGGATTGCAAGATCATATGGGCATCTGATTTTTGATATCTTTAGGAACCTCCATAGTGTTTTCTGCAATGGCTATACCAATTTACGTTCCCACTAACGCTACATAAGGATTCTCTTTTCTTCACATCCTTGTTAGCACGTGTTATCTTTTGCTTTTTTGATAATAGCCATCATAAGTATGAAGTGATATCTTGTGGTTTTGATTTGCATTTTGGTGATGATTAATGATGTAGAGCATTTTTTCATATAACTAATGGACATTTGTATGTCTTTTTGGAAAAATGTCTATTCAGGTCCTTTGCCCATTTTAAAATTCTTTTATTATTATTATTTTTGCAATTGAGTTGTATGAGTTTTTTATATGTATTTTGGATATTAACCCCTTATCATATATGTGATTTGCTAATGTTTTCTCTCATTCTTCAGGTTGTCTTTTCAATTTATTGATTATTTGCTTTGCTGTGCCAAAGCTCTTTAGTTTGATGTAGCCAATTTGTTTACTTTAACTTTTATGGGCTATGCTTTTAGTCTTGTATCTGATTAATCATTGCTTAGACCAATGTTGGGCTTCCCAGGTGGGGCTAGTGGTGGAGAATATGTCTGCCAATGCAGGAGATGAGAAACGTGACTTTGACACCTGGGTTAGGAAGATATTCTGGAGGAGAGCATGGCAACTCACTGCAGTATTCTTGCCTGGAGAATTCCATGGACAGAGGAGCCTGGTGGGCTATAGTCCATAGGTTGCAAAGAGTCAAACATGACTGAAGTGACAAAGCATGCATGCAAGACCAATGTCAAGCATCTTTTCCCCCTATATTTTCTTCTAGGAGTTTTATGGTTTCTCATCTTACAATTAAATTTGTGACCCATTTCAAGCTCAGTTTTTTGAGTGGTGTAAGAGAAGAGTCCAGTTTCCTTCTTATGCATCTAGATGTCCAGTTTTACCAACATCATTTATAGAAGTTACTAATCTTTCTCCTTTGTGTGTTCTTAGTGCTCTTGTCAAGAATCAGTTCAGCACATATTTATGACTTATATCTGGAATCTTTGTTCTGCTCCACTGGTTCCATGTACCTGTTGCCAGTACCATACTGTTTTTATTACTGTAGCTTTGTATATAGCTCAAAATCAGGAATGATGATGCTTCCAAGTTTGTTCTTTCTCAGGTTAACTTTTGCTATTTGGGGTCTTTTATGGCTCCATACAAATTTTAGGATAATTTTTGTCTATTTCTGTGAAAAATGGAATTTTAATAGGGATTGTATTGAATTTGTAGATCATTTTCAGTAGTATGGAGATTTTCACAGTATTAATTCTTCAGTCTAAGATCACAGGATATCTTTCCATTTATTTGTGTCTTCTTCAGTTACTTTCACAATATCTCATAGTTCTCAGTGTATAATCTTTTACTTCCTTGGTTCAGTTTATTTATAAGTATTTTATTGCTTTTGATGCTATTCTAAATGGGATTGCTTCCTTAATTTCTCTTTCAGATAGTTCATTGTTAGTGTTTAGGAAAACAGCTAATTTCTATATGTTGACTTTGTATCCTACACTTCCAGTGAATTAATTCATTAGTTGTAACAGTTTGTTTTTATTGTGAAGTCTTTAGGGTTTTCAATATATAATAATATGCCATCTATAAACAGAGTAAATTATAAACAGAAGTAAAAGTATACTTCTTCTTTTCTAATTGAAGGCTTTTATCTATTTAATTTTTTCTCATCTAGTTGCTATGACTTGGACTCCCAGTACCATGTTGAGTAGAAATGGCAAGAGTGGGCATCCTTGTCTTATTCATGATCTTAGAGGAAAGGTTTTTAGCTTTTCATCATTGAGAGAGGTTGTCTTCGTTCTAGTCATGTGTCATTATGCTTAAGTATCACTGAAAATGCTATCCTTACTGTGCTTTTAATTGATGATAGGGGCTTCCCTGGTGGCTCAGAGGTTAAAGCGTCTGCCTGGAATGTGGGAGACCCAGGTTCGGTCCCTGAGTTGGGAAGATTCCCTGGAGAAGAAAATGGCAACCCACTCCAGTACTCTTGTCTGGAGAATCCCATGGAGGGAGGAGCCTGGTAGGCCATAGTCCATGGGGTCACAAAGAGTCGGACACGACTGAGTGACTTCAGTATCTATCCATTTTCAATGAAGACTTCTCAAGGAAAACATTTTCTTTGTAATAAATGTATTGAGAAATAGTTAAGATACAATAAACTATAATGCTTAAAAGGTACAATTTAATATGTT